TTGATTTAGAAGAGAATGCAACTTAATTACGGCAATTATTCTGATCCCTTTAGGTTACGTGATAATATACGTGCGTATATGTTGATGTATTGTAATAGATACTGCATGGCAAGATAGCAGTTAGCATATGAACGTACTCCAATTAAGATTTCTTCACTAAATAATTTATTTTTAATTTTAAAATTGCATATATTTTGCAAATTGTTGATAAATAATATGACAATAAATATATAAACATTACTTTCCAGTAGGTACTATTCTACTCTTGTCTACTTTCATTGTCTGTAAAAGTAGTCTCAATATTCCCATTACATCTCCCATAATCCCATCATATTAAGCATTTTTTTGTCTACGCCATCTACATAAAAAATATTCTCTTTTTATTTTCGACCCATCCTAAAAGTAAAAAAAAAGTAATATTAGCACGATATTGGCAATTGTGATTTGACTGTCTGCATAACATGCCTCCATTATCATAAAAGAGAGAGCGTAAAACTACCGCCACAATTCATAATACGAATATCTGCATAACGTGACCCTAGTGGTATATTATGACTTGCTTATAAGTCCTAATAAGAAAATTAGTACCGTTTCCTCGTAAAAATGTTGATACAAATTTTTTGGTAACCATATGCTATCGGGCTTTTAACCGTAGTTTGGTGGCAGAAGTTGTTGGTATATAATCTCCATGTTTACCACACATCCTGCATTCACTAAAATCGTTTCACGCTTCAATAAGATGTTCAAGTGGTTCTTCTGTTATGATCAGGATTTGGAAACGAAACCGTACCGAAAAAAACCGATATTATAGCAGGAAAGAAAACCGGAACCAAACCGATATATTTTTTTTTTTTGAACAGGAATAAAAACCGGAATGAAAAAAATTCCGGTTCGAAGCCCTGGTTGTGACATATAGGACATAAAACATATTTTTAAATAAAAAGTATTAAAAGATTTCAGAAGGATTTTTTGATAAATTATATATCAAACACATTTTGTAAACTCTATTAACATATTTCCAAATCATTGTTTTAAGTTAAGTTAAATAATATTAAAAGTGCTTTCGAAGTAGCACCTTAAACTATATGCAATCACTTTTTAAAAATTTTTTTTTATGCAGAATCATGTATCGATTTAAAAATATTTCCCTATTTACCTTAATTGTCCTGAAACTCTTAAGCAAAGACTTTATTGATCACAATAGTAATAAACATAATATAATATAAATTTAAATATGAATTTTTTTCAGTACAAAATAAATATTTGTCCCATAAAAAATTTATTTAAATTAATCTTGGGTATTACTAAAAAAACAAATTAAATCGTAATTGATTTGAATAAAAATCATTTATCTCTATATATGTTAAGGTCTTATCAGTGGCGTATACAGAAAGTTATTTTATGGGAAAAATTGTTAAAAACTAATTCAGAATACATACAAAAAAAATTAAATAAACTTTTTTGTAAAAAAAACTTTAATATCTAATATAAGATAATTCAAAGTTCCAGTATTCTAGAGATATTGAACCCCAAAATTCTCCCCACGTGTATACGCCACAGATTCTTATAACTGAAGTGTCTTATAATAATTTTTAAAATTTTTTTAATTATAAATAAATAAATAAAATAAATACTCAGACTCCACGTGTAAACTTAAATTTTTCTAAGAAATCTATTCCATTCCGGTCTCGTATATTTTGATTAGTAAATATTTACTTCTTTAATAAATATGACAATTACACATAACCAAAATAAATAAATAGATGTAGTTAATTATTAAAAACATTAATATACATTTTTTAAAAAATTATTAAAGAAGGTGTGTTCTTTATTTACACAAGTCTTGCGCGTATCTGATTTTAATACAATAAATCAATAAACGCTAAATTGGACAATCAGTGAAAAAAAATATTTATTTTAGTTGTTACGGAAATAAATTTAATAATGCTAAACTAACTCTTTTTGTATAATTTTAGAAATTTCTTAGAATTGCCATAAGCTCAACTGAATTGTTTCTTAAAAATGAATTAATAAGTTAATAAAACTTTATATGAAAAAAAACTTATAACCACTAAAAGCAGCCAATAACTTTTGGCCATCACCTTAAACTTACAAACATAATTAATAATCATATTAGTATTAAGATCATTATGAAGTTTAGATATTTAGATCCGTCTTCTTACTATAAGCATCAATTACGATATATAAATATGAATCTCAGATACCTTTTAATTTACAAACATGATTAATAAACATATTAGTATTAAGATCATTATGAAGTTTAGATATTGAGGTCCGTCTTCTTACTATAAGCAACAATTACGATATATAAATATGAAACTCAGATACCTTTTAACTTACAAACATTATTAATAAACATATTATGAAGTAAAAAACTTGAAGTCCGTTTTACAGCTATTAATTATGATATGTTTGTATAAACATAAAAATTTCAGATACTTTTCAACTTACAAACATAATTAATAAACAATTTTTTTTAATTTGTTAATAATCGTCTCTTTTCTACGATTATACGTTAAGTGTTCTGCGATTTGTCAATGTAAACATCAGATATTTTTTAACTTACAAACATAATTAAAAATCAAATTTTTTCGAATATAATAATGAACTTTTAAGATTCAAAACCGTCTGTCTTCTTACTATAAGTGTTCTCCGGTTTGTAAAAGTAAACTTTAGATAATTTTAAACTTGCAAACATAATTAATTAATCAATTATTTATTAAGATATTTTTAAAGCTTCGTTATTTAAAACCGTCTGTCTGCTTACTATAATTATTAATTGTGATAATTACGATATATCAACAGGTTGTCCAAACACTTCTCAATATTTGATAATGACCAAAACGGTGAGAAAAATATTAAAAGAACTTCATTATGAGCAAAATCCGCCTTCATTTTCAACAATTTTTCCATTAGCATTATTGTCAACTAATTATTTGCATATTATTAAAATTATGTTAAAATTTTTATTAATATCACTTATTGTTTAATTTTATTTATTTTTTTAAAAGCAAATACTAGTATTAGTCAAACAATAGAAACAAGTTGACCAAAACAATACCAAATTTCAGATACATTTTTTGCATTTTGCAAGCTGCTTTTTTTTGGCTTTTTTCATCAAACCAGCAGCAAAGATCCAACTCTAAGCCATCAAATTTTACCGGTAAAATCGTAAAGATTTGAGTCTGATTCATTAAGCAGCCAAAGTAGTGGGCATTTATTGTTTAAATTTTGAAAAAAAAAAAATACCAAACAAAAAAAAAATTCTTCAGAGCACACTAAAATAATTAAATTTTTTTTTTGTAGTATTTTTTTTTTCTGAGTATTTGAGGTGATTTTTGTATTGATTGGTTTTGTTTAAAGTTTATTAAGTTTTTATGTAAATCTCATCTTCTGTTTAGTACAGGATTCTAGAAATTTGAAAAATTAGCATTTTTGACATGTTTGGACTATAAATATGTTAACATTTTTGAAAAACCATTAGTACTTCAAGTTTGATTGAATTGTGCGGACCTAAAAAAATTAAAAACAGGATTATCAAAATGGTGTGTTTTTCAAATACATATATATCATATAATATAAAATATTTTAATAAAAAATGTTAAGTGTTAAAATTGTGTTCTAGGATTAAAGAAGGACTTAATAAGGATTTTTGCAATTTAAGCTATAATATAAAATACTACTATGAATACAAATAAGTGTTAAAAAATAGTGAAATTAATTTATATAATTAATTAAATTTTGTCTATTTACACAAAAATCATTATTTATCTTAACTAATAATATTTTTTCTAAGGCTCTCAAAGGCTCTATATATATACATATTTAGAATATTGTGTGATATTAACATTATATGAATCCAACGTATAGTAAATAATAATATAGATATTGAATATTTTGGAAGTAGTAACTGTAGTATATCAATAAACTATACAAAATTTTAAAATAGGATATAGGATAAATAATATGATAAATATAATCGATACTTATATATAGTTAATTCTTTTAAAATTTTGATGTTTATGCCAAAACCTTAAACAGCTTAAAAAAAGTTGACTTTTTAGTTTTTTAGACAAAAAAGCTATATTTTTAGAACAAAAATAAAAACACTTTTTGGACAAAAAAGGTACATTTTTTGAACAAAAAAAACATTTTTTAAAAAATAAAGAAAATTTTTTGGACACAAAAAGTAAATTTCTTGGATAAAAAAAGAACATTTTTTGTACAAACAATTTTCAATTTTTAGGCAAAGGATTTTCAATTTTGTCAAAAAAATTCTGTTTGAGGAAACAATTTTTATTGTTTATACCTTCAAGTGTCCATTCAGCTATAAAAAACATATAGACTCCACTTTTAATATCAAACGAAATATAGAATATCAAAAACATCACCATTGAAAAACATCACCATCACCATTGAGGTTCATAATCCATATTTAATATTATGTTAAACACGAACATTTCATATTAAAAATAACTTGTTTAAGAAATATACAGTTGTCGAGGGGAGAGAAGCACTTCTTAAAATTAAATTTAATTCAGTATTTTTAAAATAACTCAATAAAAAAAAAATATGCTTTAATTGGGTTTATCTAACAGATATAACAGATCCTATCATTTTATTTCAATTTAGAATTTAATACCTAAAAGAAATTAAAAGAAAAACAAAAACAAAAGATACAAAATGTCCTATATCTTTTTTATAACGCATACGAAGTCTAACATATTCTGACATAGAATAGGGTTTAATCCGTATTATCTCCACTAATTATGCCACTAACTAGGGTTTATTTATTTAAAATAGAGTTAATTATAATAAGTTGTAATTTTTTCAATTAATTATATTAATAAATTACAAAGTCTATATAAGTCAATTAAAGATAAATAAAAACTGTGTTATTATATCTTCTCTCTCCCCTGAACAAACATTTTTAATAATAAACAACAATTAATTTTATAATAATTTTCTCTATATTTTAGAAATTCTTCATTGTCTTTGCTTTGTTTGCTCTTGCTACCGCTGATGTCAGCCATTTGAGCAGAACATATTTGCCACCATCACAAGCAGCTGCTTCAGTTCCAACTGTTGATTACTTGCCACCATCACATGGATCTGCTTCAACTACTTATTCTACCTACTCAGCACCTGCCGCTACTACTTCTTACAGCAGTGGCATAAGTGCTGCCCCATCAACTTCATACTCAACTTACTCAAGTGCTCCTGTTGCTGCAGCTACATACTCTGCACCATCATACAGTTCCGCCACCTATAGCGCACCAGCTAGCTCATATTCAACTTATACCGCCCCAGCAGCTGCAGCCTCTTACTCTGCACCAACATACTCCGCTCCAGCTACTTCATACACTAGGTCTAGCTACTCAGCTCCAGTTGCAGCTGCCACTTACACCGCCCCAGTTACCTCATATACTAGCTCAAGCTATTCAGCTCCAGTCGCTGCTGCTACATACTCTGCACCATCTTACTCTGCTCCAGTTACTTCATACACTAGCTCCAGCTACTCAGCTCCAGTTGCTGCTGCCACTTACACTGCACCTGTTACCTCATATACCAGCTCTAGCTACTCTGCTCCAGCTGCTGCTGCTACATACTCCGCACCATCTTACTCCGCTCCAGCTGTGTCATACACCAGCTCAAGCTACTCAGCTCCAGCTGCTGCTGCTACATACTCCGCACCATCTTACTCCGCTCCTGCTGTGTCATACACCAGCTCAAGCTACTCAGCTCCAGCTGCTGCTGCCACATACTCAGCTCCATCATACTCTGCACCAGCTACCTCTTACACTAGCTCCAGCTATTCAGCTCCAGTTGCTGCCGCTTCAACTACCTACTCTTCTGGTATCGATACTGAGTATGGTTCCAATGGCGGTTACGTATATACCAAAAAACATTAGGTCTGCTATATTCAATTAAACGACACTTATAAATGCAATGTTTTTTATATATATATTTTTTTTAAATAAATAAAATATTTTATTTAAAATATTTTTTTTCAATAATTTTTTTAACACTTAATTAAGAAATATTTCTTTATATATTATTTTAAAATATTTTTGTTAATTATTTATTCTCTTCACTTGGAACAGTGTTGAGTACGGGAACAGCAGCGTACAAAATATTTTTCTTTTGTTTGATTTCCAAGCCTGGTTCCTTAGCATAGTTTTTAATAAAAATTAGTGGTGATTCAACTGCTTTATTTGCAACTAGTTGTCCAGGTTTGATATAGTTATTGTTTGGTATCGCTGGATGTGGATAATCTGTTATAAAATGGTACAAGACTGGTTTAGGTTCCATACTGTCATCTTTTGTTATAACATCAGCAGCTTTTACTTGTATAGGCTGGTTCACATAAACTGGACCAGGATAGAGATAAGAACCCTCTGGTATCTGATCTATAATCATTTGTGCATTACTGCCAAAGACTATAGCAATTAAAATAAAAAATAACATCTGAAAAAAATCATTTTTGATTAGTATATGATATATTAGTTCTATTAAATTATTAATGAATATAATGATATATACATATTTTATCATAACACAATCAATATATTGATATATTGATAATTAGTTTTTCATATAATAAATTGCTCATATTTGATCAATTTGATTTACTGGCTTCAGTTTTAGATATTAATGTCGTTTTCGATCGGCAAATCTGGAGTAATTTTTTGAATCTAGAATAATTTTTAGTGCTTTATTTTATTTTCGATTGGTAAATCTTAAGCAAAATGTATAACACTTAGTTTTATTTATAACAATCAATATATTTTGCCAGAGTAGCAAAATAATCCTGAAATTCACAGCTGTTATATATGACTTGACAGAAACAGTGTTATTTGATTCTAAACATATATTTATAAAAAATTTAAATGCCTATTAATATTATGCCTAAGATTATTCCATTCTGGTTTTAACCACATTATAACCATATATATTGTATAACGATATTATAACTTTATATTACATATGTAATATATAACCGTATTATTGTTGTGGTTTCACTAGGCTGATTTATCAATCCAACTTCATATATGCCTTTCTCTCTCTCCCTCTTTCTCTCTTGTTTCTTTCTTCTAAGTTGATAATCTAAGTTCATACATCCTACCGTCTTAGACGATAGTATCAAAATTATATTAATATTTTTCACTTATTCCCACTACGACTAAATTACGAGTGTTACGATTGTTTTCAGTGCTAATTTAAAACTCTTCATTTTCACAAATACTAACGTCTTTGATCGCCTTTAATTGTAATCACCGAAGACCAGTATCACGACTAAAGCCCGAATAAAGAATATGCTTTCTGAAACCCTATTCTATAAAAGTTTTTTTACAAATTTTTAATCATACAATTTCATTATTTTTATTCCATATATTATATACTTACTCAGGTTTATTAGGCTTATACATTCTTACTTCATATATTTACCTTTTTTACTTATAGTGTTGATAACAATCAATAATATCCGTAGATGAAAAATCGTTAAGGTTTTATTACCTCAAAAGACCTTTATAAACTAAATTTCGAAAAACAATTATCACTTGCTTTTATATGTCTTAAGGATATATCAAACTTCTATACATAATAAATGAAATCATTTACTGAAACATATGTAAACCAGGTAACCTAAATTTTTAATCAAAATTATCAATATAATTTGGTGAAGCATGCAAATTATTATATACTTATATGTACTTACACTTTTTTGCATATATAAATAAGAATTTATTTAAAGAACGAATAAAGAGTATCTGTCCTCAATTTTAAACGCTGATATCTTATATGTACACTTATATATATGAAAAATAAACATCGTTGACTTTCAACTTAAATTTAAATCTCTTCAAGTTTGTATTTAATTTGAGTATTTATTTTCTTTCATTGAAAGTAAAAATTATTTAAGGAATGTAAACAGGTAGAATCATATATACCCGTATATATATGTACATATATACATATATTGATATAAAAAATCTTAATAACTACGTCAAATTAAAGACAGAGGTGTGGAGAAGTTTTTGCGAACACATAATTTAATGACATGAGCTATAGTCTTTAACCCCAGATTCTTTTAGCATTAATAGTTTTCATTTAGAATTGAAGCAATAAAATATTATAGAAATTGATTAACTAAAATACTTGACAAAAACTTAATAGATTCTTTCAAGTCTTTTACTCTTCTAATTATATTATTTATTCTAATATAATATTATTATTTTATATTAATTATAATAATAAATTATAAAATCTTCCTATTATAGAATCTATATAAGATCGTCCTATAGATTCATATTATTTTTATAATATAAAATATACTTATAGGTATATTCCATAAAAAGATCTTATATGTTATATATACACATATTATAATTTTACATTATTTTATTGTTAATAATCGTTATGTGACTAATGATAATCACGATTATTTGATTAAATTGATTATGATTATTTGATTAAATTGATTGTACAATATACATATATAAATCATTTAAAATAATAAATATTATGTACTAGCATTATTTATTATTTGATTATTATTACTATTATTATTAATTATTAATAATATCATATTACTTTACAGTTAATCTATGCTATATAAATTTTAGATCTATGGAACAGTTGTTTCCTAAACGTAACATTCAACAATTTAAATCATATTTCATAATTTATTTATAATTTCATATCGTTCCAACAAGATGTGTCCCTATAAGCACATATTGCGATCAGGGTACAGCCTGGGCACAGTAGATAATAGTGTCCATATTTTTATTACAAAGAATTAATATAGATTTATGATGTATATAATTTCATGTTTATCTATTGAAACATTTCTCTATAACCACACGTCACAATTTTAGTAAAGATAATAGACTTTCTATAAGTTTTTATATTACAAATATATTATACTTACTAAAGTAAAAATCATTAGGGGCATTCACTCTGTCTTGCAAAGTCATTGGAAGGTGCACGAAATGCAAGAATGCTATACTAAAATTGCAAAACGTCTGTTACAACTGATATAGTTTAATATATAGTGATATAGATTGAATAATGTTAGAATTACGAACGATTACATATTCTGAATGTTCCTTTCGGGTTCTGTACTGTTCAAGAACTGTATAATTTCAAATTTGTATGTGTGTTTTAGTTCTAGTTCTAGAACTAAATGAATGTATAATTCTCGTATAGTTTATGAATATTAATTTATATATGGAAATTTTATATGTATTTGAACTGAATTTTTTTTGGATATAAAAGTGATTACTTCTATAATGTTCATCTAATATAAACTATTGTATAGCATTAAGAATTTAATAGATTGGAGCAATTTCGGTTTCAGTTTCCAAAAATTGCAATCCATCAATTATTGAATTTTTTTAGAATTAATTTTAAGTTATATACAGACAATTAAATCGAATAAATATAGATAAACACCACTGTTGACGGATACTAGGCAATATATAATACAGCTGCATATATTATAGCCTTTTTCTATTCGAAATAGATTTCTTGTCATTGTACGAAAAATTTTTAATAATAATTCAACTGTGCTCATTTTAAAATCTCTGTACTTGATGGCCTAGAAAGTAAAAATCATAATTATGATAATAATTTCCAGTTCTTATCTGACTTAGTTTATTCACGTAACCAAACGATCAGCAATCTTGAAATAACTAGTCTGGTAATGAAGGGAAGCAAAAAACCAGAGAGGACGCTTGCTCAATGAGTAATTCAATTATAACCTATATTTCAAAATATAGGATATGTATAAGATCGTGGAACGGTCCATAAGATCGGTCAAATAGCGTACAATAAAAAACAATATAATATAAATATATTTAAGTAATTAATGCTTGAATCAATAAGAGTAAGTAAAATATTATTACCAACAATCACAAAAATATTAGTTGCTCTTTTATTGAACTTCATAAACAATGCAAGGGAGTATTAGTTATGTTGAAGCTGTTTTGAGCTAGTGTACTTAAGCACTTATACTCCTTCTTAACTCGAGGTTTCTTCAAAACCCCTCTCTACACATTGACTAGATTATTGTTTATCACTTCATCAGACTAAACAATAATTGACCTCAGATCTGCATACCTCCCCGAGGAGCCTGTAACCATTCTGAGATTTGATATGGCGGTGTTGGTAACTCTGTCAGATTTCGCAAATAATTTCAGGGCTCTTTCCTTTATGTATTTTTTGATATGATCAATCTTGATGTCCCTGAGTATGTCATTCGTCCTAATGTAACATGTTTGAAGCTTTGCAAGGGAGTAGCTTTCCTTTATTTTTAATTGAATGACAATCTTCGGGAGAGAGCTGTGTAATTAAACATTCTCATATAAAGCTATTTTTAATAAAAATTACATTAAAAGAAACTTTTTTTATACAAATCGAATTCTCTTTCCAAGCATGTAACAACGGCATTTTTCTAGCAAAGGTAAAAAAAATTTTCGTGCCAAAAGAGTTGCTCACCCATGGATAAAATACTTAAAACCACTTCAATAAAAATAAATTTTTAATTGTTTTTAGCTTCAATTACTTTAGAACCAAAAATGAAAAACAAAATAGAATGATTTGCAATATATTTACAGTAAAAAAATCACACACAGAAAATACGAATTTAATATTCCATATAAGAGAAGTTAAATAAAAATTGTTTGGACAGTTCTTCTTCAAATGCTTAGAGAGTAACAACAAATCATCTACCGAAATGGTAAGACGGAGTTTATTTTATTATAAATAAATTATTTCAATAAGTTGATTACAATCAAAAAAATTTATTGTTTATAGAAAATATTAATTATCCTACAACTGACAATTCTGGCAATCGCAACAGCTGGCAGACACTCTTACAAAACTAAAACAACTTCTTTATTGCAACCTATTCAACGCCAATCTTCGGTATACTCTGGACTCAGAACAGTACCATCCAAAAATGTAGGCATTGATGGTATTAGTGTACATTCTAGTTCATATTCTGTGTCATCTCCAAATGGAGTACCAAAAACCTTTGGCTACACAAGTCATTCGCTTCAAACAGCTGATGGAAGAATCATAACTACTTATCAAACAAAACCAGGCTCACGACCAATAACTAAGGTATATAAACTACCAAAAGGATTAGGTGTAGGTAGCACTGGCATAACAAATATTCAGACATATTCTGATCCAACATTTAATGGAATTGCTGTTGCAAGCGCGGGATCATTTGGTGTTCGCTGAATGTTAATAAATATTTAATATAAAATCTTGGTGTGTTATATGTTAAAAAATAAAGTATTTCAGTATAAAATGATAAAATAACAGTGTATTAATTTGAGATTGAAAGAACTTATAAGTGTTCTCTGTTGGAGAAACATAACACCTCAAGACAATTATATCTATTTCATTTTATGAATACTATAAATTGAGATCCATATACCTAGCACACACTTATACCGTAAATGCAATATAAAACTTAATATGCACTTGTTTCAAATGATTCAATCGAGATCATGAGGGCCTCATTCAACTTCGGCCATTTAATACAGACCATCTATCTACAATTATGTCACCTGAGTAAAATACAATGTACAAATATAGTATGTAAAATTTAATTCATTATTCAGTAAACTAATTAACTTAAATTCTTTAACAAAATAATAATGACCCCATCATAAGAATTGTGTAATTGATTTAGAGAATGATGCGACTATAACTATATTATAGTATCATAAAATTCCGACCAATCCAAACTAACTATCATTTATCTATAATTTACTCTTACTGATTAGAATTATAATACTGAAACTTAGACATCGATTTTAAACAATATATTATACAAGAATTCTAATCGAATATATTTATTTCAATTAACAAAATGCACAAATTCATACAGAATTTTAAAACCATTACCTATTTCAATAGACATAACTATCATTACCAGATTTTTGTCAGTGTTTTTTTAAAATAATTCAAAAAATTGAACTTACAGGTCCCACATGCCCATCAAAAGTTTTTCTCAAAAGCCTGCTTATACCCCAAATAATAAAAAATCAATAGCCTTTTATATATTTATAACTCGAATATACAATATTTATTCCAATCAATAAGAAGAAGCACAAATTTAAGCAGAAATCACAATAAAGACTCAATCCATTACCTATTTTAATAGACATAACCACCATTAGCAGCATATTTTGTATCAATACCGGAAGTATAAGCGCCGCTAGGAGCAGTATATGCAGCTGCAGCTGGGGCTGAAGAGAAGCTAGTTTTCTGTACAACAGGTGCGAAAGTTTCTACTTCAGAAGTGCCATAAGTGCGTGAAACTCCTGGAGCGGTATATTTACCAGATTGAGCAGTATAGGTAGCTGGTGCAGAATAACCTGTAAATCCAGTACCTGGGGCCGTATAATGTTGACTGGATGTAGCTGTATATTTACCGGAAGTCGGAGCCGCGAAAGTTTCAGTAAAGGCAGGCGCAGCATAAGTTTTGTAGTTGGAAGCAGTATTAGTAAAACCAGGTGCTGTGTAAGCGGCAGGAGCGGCATACGTTTGCTGCTGTTGTTGTTGGTTAGCAAAAGGTGTATACGCTTTAAAGTTAGCGAAAGCAGGTTGTGCAAGTGATTGAGTCGCAGCTGGACCGGAATATGTTTTATAGTTGGCACTTGAACCCGGAGCGAAATAGGACTTAGTGTATGCAGGAGCATCAGCATAATTTTTATAATTTCCAAAAGCAGCAGCATTGGCAGGTGTGATAAACGTTTGCGTTGAAATCGGTCCGGGATGATCGTGGAAATTGGCAAATGCCGGTGCAGCAGTAAAGGGTGCAGAAGGTGCATAAACTTGGCCAGCATTTGGTGCAGAATAAGTTTTATAATTTGCGAAACCAGCTGTAGCGGGAGCGCCATAAGACTTATAATCAGCAGAAGGAGCGGGTGCTATATATGATTTTGCAGCAAATGGTGCGGAGTAAGACTTTTCAGACGATGTATACCTATAACTGGCAGGATCTGCAGCAAATGCGGCACTTTCAGGTGCTGCAGATGTTTCTGGTGCAGCATAGGATTTGAAATTAGCAGGAGCTGCATAAGAAGTAAAAGAAGATTTTGGTGCTGTATAAGCAGCAGCACTGTAGGCGCCCTGTTGACTTGTCGGTGCATTTTGGAATGTTGTGAAAGTTTGTTGTTGTGCTGGTGCAGCAGATATCAACTTCCCACTGAAAGCACTAGACGGTGCAGTGTATTGTGAAAATGCACTTTGGCCCGCTGGAGCATGTTGGAATGAAGTTGAGGTGAAGGATTGTTGTTGAGCTGCAGGAGCGGCAATCAATTTTCCACTAAAACCGGTAGATGGTGCAGTATATGCAGAACTGTACTGAGCGGCTGGTGCATGTTGGAATGAAGTTGAGGTGAAGGATTGTTGTTGAGCTGCAGGAGCTGCAATCAGTTTTCCACTAAAACCGGTAGATGGTGCAGTATATGCAGAACTGTACTGAGCGGCTGGTGCATGTTGGAATGAAGTTGAGGTGAAGGATTGTTGTTGAGCTGCAGGAGCTGCAATAATTTCCGCTGAACCAGCTGTGGTGCATTATATGTAAAAGGACTTTGATGTTGTTGGATGATGATGAGGTGAAAGATTGTTGTTGTGCGCTGGACAGCAATTAATTTACCACTGAAACCAGTTGATGGTATGCTGCTTACGGATGAGTAAGTACTTTGACTGGAAGGTGCTTGTTGGAATGATGACGATGTGAAAGCTTGTTGCTGAGCATTTGGAGCAGCTACTAATTTTCCACTAAATCCTGAAGTGCCACTAGTAACGATATTGCTACCAGATGTATAACCGCTGCTAGTCAGTTGTACTGTACGTGATGATGCTGGCAAATATGTTCGAGATAAGTGAGCGACATCGGCATGCGCAAATGCGACCAATGCGGTGACTAGAGCGATGCAAGCGATGATTTTCTTTAAAAGAAAATTTAAATTATTTAAATTTCTAATTACAAACTTTGTTATTTCTTCTATTAAATAAAGTTTTAAATATTATTGTTTCAATTATTTTAAAAATTACTTTTCGGTAATCGTATAGTTTTTAAACACCCCGTAATAAAAAAAAACTCTTATTAAAAAAAATAAATTGTTTTGAAGTAAAACGATTAAGAAACAAAACATGAGATCGATTCACAATGGCAGGGAGATGGTTTTTTATCATTGAATCATTGAGACTCAAGCCATATTATTTGCTACTAAAGGGTAATTTTTATGAAAATATATCACTATTAAGTACTGTTCTTTTTTAAGGAGATTATTTTCGAATTCATTATTATAGTTTTAACACATAATAAACTCAGAAATTTTTTTGTATGTGAATATATTTTTAATAACTATTAGCTTTTTCACAATATCACTTTACTAACCATTATAGACGATTTTAGAGTATTTCTCACGAAATGCGAACTGTACGTAGAACCAAACTGAAAGAATGGAATCTAAGAACTGTGTCTGAACCATACGAATGCCAGTCAATTTATACTAAAAATAAATCAACAAAATTTTGCAAATATGAAAAACTAAATTTTAATGAAGATCAGTGTTCAAAAAATATTACTAAAACTATTTTAAAAAATAAATTTTTTTTTTTTTAAAAGTGACATATCGCACAGAAACTACAACAATTCCCAGTGTTTCTGTAAAATTAATTTTGAAGCCGTCCGCACGCACTTGTAAGACGTCTTCAAAAACCGCTTAAACTCAATTCGAATCTAACACGAATGTTAAGTAACCAAATAATTAAACAGCAGAAGTAATTACAATTTAAATAAGCCCAATTCGAAACTGTCAAAAAATCATAAAAATCATTTGAAAAACAACTAAAAATTCGCCAATGCAAATTAGCAAGCGTCACCTAACTTGGACTAATAGGATTAATGTGGTTGTCATCAAAGCAACTACTTTTGGAACTATCGCTAAAGACGAACTATTGACAAGTGCTTAATCTTTTCAAAACTCATATAATAACTAAACTTGACAACTGCCTGATGAAGACTCCAATGCTTTTTATTTTTATTTTTTTGTATGTCAACTAAAAAATAATTTATTTTTAATTAATTTTAGTAAAAACGATTTTTATTGGCTCTCAACAGATCAAAAATAGACTACATAGAAGTATTCTATACAAAATATTCTAGTTCCTTTATATGTCATATATATTATTTAATTTTCGATTTTACATACCATAAGTTATTATACGATACTTCCCACATATTGTTTGCCATAAATTATATAATAAAAAACAACTGTTTGAAGTAATAATACCTTATATTATAAATTTAATAGTATCTATATTTAAAAAAATCTTGTTTTTCTTCGTTTCTTTGTAGATGGAACAAAGATTAAGTCGCATACTTAACGTAAGGGATTTCGATGTCGCCTCACACCATTAAGAACTCACCCCAGTATAATGGTCAATTATCAATCCATTATGAACCCAATAAGAATCCAGCATAGCCACGATGAATAAGCGATCTACCGAATCTACAAGGAAATCTCTCAAAAAAATCATCCTTAAAGTCTTTTAATAAAGTCAATACATTGGTTTTTAATAATAATGTACATATCTCATATTCATATATCTGTACATAGATATTTATATATTCACCCATAATATGTTGATATCTCAATATTTGTAATCAACCTACGTATAGAACTTTTTAGGTAAAAATTAAATAAACTTAAAGTCAGCCTCCTTATTTACCGACGTCAGCACTTTTATAGTAAGAGGTGCGTCTTCAGATACCATGCCATGGACATATACCCTTTAAATACATATAATGTTTGGATTGAATACGTTATGTAAATACAGAACATACAACATATCGCTGAGAAGATCATACAAACATATAGGAGGTTTAACTCAAAAAATATGTGTCATGTGTCTAAGTTAATGGAATTTTTTTTAATTATTTATATTGATCAATTATTCCTTAAGTGACAGTGTAAATACATTGATAAGTCTCAAGTACTTTTAGCTAGACTTAAAGTACGTTACACAGTTTTGTATTCTGAATGCTTAAAAGATTACAAATTTTTAACTACAAACCAATAAATATATGGCTTTATTGGCTAATATTGCTATGACGTCATATTCCAAAGACATGGACGTTTCTAAGTCTATTGTAAGACTAATAATGAACCTTTGAAGACTATGACTTTGTAAACAATGAAGACTACTTTATGAACCTCCTTTTCTGAGTTGAGAGAAAATCCTTAAAAGTTTTAGAAAACCATCTATAATGATAGAATAATTCTAAACCGTCAATAGTATTGATTCTGGAGTCGATACTTTGTAGTATTGATGGTGCATTACTGATTACAGCTTACAGTTTGGAACATACTGTAGCAAAAATTTCATCTGGTCATTATGTTTTCAAAAACATTTGCAAGTCATTGCACTTTTAAGTAAAAAAACACATCCAAGTAATATCCTGTTAAGTTTGAAGAACATTATTTGGTCTAAAACATACAAGAAACCGAATAGGCGAAAATATGGAAATACAAGGGATTTAAAGGATTTAAAGGATTTAACTCAAAAAAAGCATATATGGTCGAAAAATTCGTTACAACGATCCCAATAACTGAAATTCAAATTTTTCTTTAAGCTAACTTTATTTCAGTACGTTACATCTCGATAAATAAGCTACACTCTCTTTCCCCTTAGGATTATTTTCTTAGGCCAACGAAACACCTCTCGCATTTATGTAAGTTTCTTTGGAAACACACTTTATATATTTCTATAATGTATTAATAGCATTGCCGCCATCAAATAACATACAACCTTCATACAATCCTTCATCATCACAGAGTCCGAAATCGTAACAAACCAGAGACGGTGTTATAAATAATACCAAAACCTCCTTCTCTTAAGGTTTTATCATATCTGGAAACTACATTTTAGACTTTTTGTTCTAATTAAAAGTTAATTAATTTTTATATTATTAAATATTATATATAAAACATATTATTATATTATAATTATATATAAAAACAAATAAACAAAACAAAACAAATAAAATTATTTTAAATTGCACTGACGACCTCTATATGAAATATTTTCAAACACAACAGACCGTAAACACATGCACTAGCTTTCAACCGCAACAAAAGTAGAGGTCGTAATATTACGGTCTTTGACCAAACTAAAAATGATTGTTGTCTCAGCTAAGAGTGTGCTTTGAATGTGTTTTTTTTTATTAAGTTTTCAATATTTTTGTTTGTTTATTTTTTTTATTTTTTCTTTTTAAAGAAAAAATTTTTACTTTTTAAATTCTATTACTTAATTTATTATAAAATATAACAAAATATTAAATAAAAAAAATTTAGTAACTAAACTGAAAAGAACTGTTTTATGGCCGCGTCGAGTAGCCTCTGCCAACCAGCCTTATCAATGACTTGCAATCGCCAGGTAGTATCGAGCGTCTTCAAATCATTGGTCACCTGGACCTTTCACCGAAGATGCAGACCCTTCACCTACCAGCATAGCCGCTGAATTTTCATACGCTATATCAATGTCGCGTTATGGCTCATACAGCTCATCGTTCCATCTAATTCGATACTCGCTGCAAATTCTTGCCTCAAATACTCCTAACTCCTGCACCATACAGCAGGGCGGGCATGAGAAGAGACTTAAAGAGTGTGATTTTTGTTTATCGTGAGAGGGTTTTATTTCTTAATAGCCTACTTAGCCTGAAGTAACATCTGTTGGCAAGAGTGATTCTTCGTTGAATCTGTAGGTTGACGTCATTTTCGTATTTACGCTGGTTCCCAAATAAACAAAGACTTTCACAACTTCGAACTTATAATTGTCAACAGTGACGTGGTTTCCAAGACGGTCAGAAGATTTGTTTGTTAGTATAAAGTAAAGATTTAGTCATTAAAGTTTTATCAACTAAAGACTAATATGAGAAAATAAGCAAACACCGAGCTACACAGATATAAGCCGATATATACAGTATTCACTCCATTAAACATATGAAAGGGCTTAAGGGAGCTGGGATACGCGTCTGTTGAAAATAGTTATTAAAACGCAAATTGTTTTAATTTACATTATAATTTATTTATTTACAAAAACAATACAGTATTGTTGCTTGATATACTTTATTGATATACTTTAAATTTTATGTTATGTAAATCATGCAGAAAAATATATACATAAAATATGAGTTATTAATAATATTTAATGCAAAATGTATTATATCCAACCCCTTCTTTAGAGATAACGTTCCTCATATCTTTCACTTCGACTGAGTCATAAAACTACCGCTTAAATAACAAAAACAACATAGAACGCGAAGAATGCACAAAGAATGAAGAAGAGGCCTTTCATCTTAATTTGCAAAGGAGAAGAATTTAGTCAGTGCAAGTCTGGCTTTTGCTTCGCACTTTCTTAATTGAAATTGAAAGAAAAGTTATTTTTAAAAAACTAAATTTAAGTTTAAATACAAAAAAATAGAATCACATTAGCGTTAAGTGTTTTTGAAGAAATTGTTATTAATAGATGTTTGCATAAATAAATTGTTGAAAATAAAATTCGTGTCGAGTTCTTGTCCATATCAGTTATTCAAATGCTGATAAAGTAAATAGTATATAGATTGATCGTAAAAAAAAATTATTTCAAATAAAATAAAATCATTTATATATAAATCTTTAATTATAATTTAAAACTTAAAAAGTGAATAGTGCAGAAAAGTGAAAATTAAAAAATATTTTCAATAGTCAATGTAAGTATCAGAATCCATAGCTGTGTGGAATAAAGTCTTTGCTCGATTTTCAGATATCCAGACTTCAGTAAAATACATAACCTTACATATTTTATTGAAAGTCACATGTGGTTCTATTCATCTGTTAAAAAAAAAAAATATATGAATTTTTGTTGTTCTAGAATTTTATCACATATTATATTCTCTTCTTTAGGGCAGAAATTTACCGTTCACCGTTACGGTCTTTTCAACAACATGTGTTACTCTCCACATTCATCAGTTATACAATACTCTTAAATCTCTTAACAACAACAACAGTTGCCATCAGTAATCATCATTGCAGCGCGAACCAATTTCCTTGCAATGACGGAAACTGCATCTTACTGGAGAAGATGTGTGATGGAGTTCACGATTGTGCAGACAATTCGGATGAGTTGGATTGCGGTAAAAAAACTGAGAATAATAAAAACAATTTTTTTTTAAAATTTTTAAAAATAATATAATTTATATATATATATAAAATAAAATCTCTAATAGATTATAGAAAGTGTCGCAAACCGAATTGGTTTTCGTGCGCACAACCTCATGGTCCTTGTCTAAACGCTACACTGGTTTGCAATGGTATTGAAAATTGTCCTAGCGGAGAAGACGAAAGCGATTGTGAGGGTACTGCACGCAATGGTAAAAAATGGTTTATCACAAAGCGCGACTGTTCTGCCTATGAGTATATGTGTCAAAGTGATAAATCCTGTATACCTTTGGACTTCATGTGTGATGGAAAAGTTGATTGTAAAGATGGTTCGGATGAAGATGCTGGTTGCCTTAAAGCTAAAACCAGTTGTCCAGGATTCTTTTGTCATAACAAAAAGTGTTTAGAAACTGATTCTTGGCGTTGTGATGGCGTAGACGACTGTGGAGATGGAAGTGATGAACACAATTGTCGTAAGTGCAATCACTTAGTGTAATTTTATTACAACAAATTGTTAATAATTAAAATTTAATTTAATTATTATACATAAAATTTTTATTTTGTAGCCGCTTTTTGCAAGCCTGAACTTGGTAAATTTCTTTGTCATGACAATACAACTTGCTTAGATTTAACAAAAGTGTGTGATAAATCTCCTGACTGTACTGATAAGAGCGATGAATCTGCAAAGTGCACAGTAGAAAAATGTACTGATAAAACATGTCCACCTGGTGCAAAATGTGTTTTGTTACCAACAGGTGCTACATGTGTATGTCCAAAAGGCTATCGACTTTCTGCAATAGAAAATGCTTGTACCGATATCAATGAATGTCTGGAGAGCTATGGTATATGTAGTCAGAGCTGTGAAAATAAACCCGGTAGTTTTAAGTGTAAATGTGATGATGGTTATACGCTAAACTCGGATAACAGAACCTGCGAAGCACTTGGTGAAGATGCCATACTCATGTACACAACTCAAGTAACTATAATGAGTGTACATCTACGGTCGAAACATGTTTACCCAATTGCAGTTAATTTAACAAAAGTAATTGGAGTTTCATATGATGGCACTAGTATTTATTGGACGAATATACAAAAAGAAACTGAAAGCATTGTTAAGGCAGAAACTGATGGTTCTGAAGCAGAAATATTGCTAACTTCTGGTTTAGATGCACCAGAGGATTTAGCAGTAGACTGGTTAACAGGTAATGAAATATTTTAGTAAGTGGCAGATTTAGACTGTCCCAGTTGATATGCATATATTTATATTAAAATTTCATACATCTTTTATACATATCTTCATGATTGTGTATATTACATATATATTATTATATCAGTATTAAACTATTATATATATATACATATCATAATAGTCTTTTATCGAATTTAGGTGTGCCAACGAAGTCTTAAAAAATATTTTGAAATTCTAAAACGTAATTATGTTACCGCACTTAAATATAGTAAAACAGTCTTTTCACGAGACCCCGCAAATATAAACCATACCAAAAAGTTTTCTTCCTACCATATTGTGTTGAAAATTTTTATACAATTTTTATATATTTTCTTAGGACCGTGATTTTCAACGACATCATTATAATAGGTTTCTACACGTATAAAAGAACGAGTCGTAATAAGATTATAGCTATATATCAATTGTTCTTTAAGAAACATATTCCATTCAAAGGTTCATCTTTGCAAATAATGAGAAATTATTCCATCATTTACAAAGTGTTGACATCAAATCCTTTTACTTACCCTGCTAAAAATATTTTTGCGACTAAACCAGATGATATACCTATAACGTTTTTCTAATATAATGAGCGATTAGGTCAATGACCCTCAGTGACTCCCTCAGTTTTCGCGTTAAAATTCAACCGTTGCTTTAGAGAGCAAACCAAACAGGCTTCCCAAGAACAGGAGAACTACAAGAACGGCACATATTAATTCAATACACATTGAAGAAAGTTAAATTTGGTTTGTATACATCATTTTTCGTAAAAGTATTAATGCTATTTTAATTCTATTTTCCGACATATTACATTAGAATTTAGTTTGTAATTTAAAATAGTGAATCATCCTTTCATATGAGAGAAATATAGTTAAGTTAGAATAGCACTTTGTGTAGTCTATTAGTATATCAAGCTCTACAGTGTGACTTCCAATTTTAAGTTAATATAACATATTTTAAAAACTTTCTCATCTTATAAACTTATCCACTTATTGTTTTCTAGTAAATTTTTTAGATTCTCTGAAAATCTAAACCATCTTATAAGCTTTATTTTTGGGTTTAAATTGATTCCATTTAATTTCTCAGAAAGTTTCTTCAGTTCTCAGAATATTATTCTTCAAATCAGTTTTTAGAAAAATTCTATATATATTAGTTTAACACATATAATTTTAATTTAAATTTGATTCCAATTTTATATACATATATATATTTTTTTTTTAATTATCGTAGACAATATATACTTCTCCGATAATGTTATGCGACATATAGCTGTATGCTCTAACAATGGCATATATTGCATTGTATTGATAACCCTTGATGTTCATCAACCTCGTGGTATTGCATTATGGCCACAACGTGGACAAATGTTTTGGACTGATTGGGGTAATAAACCAATGATAGCACGTGCTTCAATGGATGGTAGTAATTCTAAGTCAATAATTGTCGATAACATACATTGGCCAAATAGCATTGCTATTGACATGCACAATGATCGCATTTATTGGGTAGATGCAAAATCTGCAACTATCGAAACAGCACGACCAGATGGTACTGAAAGACGATTAGTTCTACAGGGTATATTGAAGCATCCATATGGCTTAGCATTATTTGAAGATAATATCTACTGGTCAGATTGGTCTACCAAAAGCATTCACACTTGCAATAAATTCACTGGAAAAAATCATAAAATTGTTACAAAGGATCGCACTATGTATGCTGTACATATATATCATTCGGCAAAGCAACCTAAAATGAATCACGCTTGTATGGATACACGCTGCTCTCATTTATGCTTATTGGCTGAGAATAACAGTTCCACTTGTGCTTGCCCTGATGGCATGATACTCTCTCCAAATAAACTTCAATGCATAAAAATGCATAAGAAACAACGTTTGTTCATAGGTCTTAAAAATATTCTTTTGGAAATGGAGCATACCAATTTTGGGCGTCATGTAATTTCGAGCACTTATACATTGCCGTTGTATGTAAATGAAATGACCTACAATACTGTGAACGAAACGATTATCTTGGTTGATAATATGCAGCGCGCTGTATATGAGTACGACATAAAGCAAAAACGTACTACTCCATTAGTTCGTGGCAATATAGGCAATATTACTGGCATTGCTTTTGGTATATATACTTATGTTTCTGTACAGTATTTATAATTAATATATTTTATATTAAATTAGATCACTTATCGCATTGTCTCTACTGGACTGATTCAGAGCGACATGTTGTGGAGGTATTCTCTTTAAGGACAAGACAACGTGCGATCGTCAGTTTCTTCTCTGGTGTTGATGTACCTATTGGGATCTCCATTATACCGGAGGATGGGTAAGAAAAAAAAAATTTATAAATACAAAAAATATGTTATGCATTTTACATAAGTAAATGTGTGTCAATAGCTAGGAAGTAATACAAATAAAATAAAAATAGAAAATATTGGAAGTGTATTGTAAAAGTTGCCTCGGCGAACAATAGACGATTTTATTATTATTAAAAAATTCATGACGAAAACTTTATTTTAATTATTAAATGTTAATTTTTTTGTCGAATGTCTATGACTAAAAAACTATAAGTTAGAAGAGTTCGAACAGTATTGAAGAAACAGCAACAAAAATCAATTTGAACAATTTTTGTTGTTGTTTCTTCATTACTGTTCGAATCCTTCCAACTTTATCTCAATTATTTGTATATTTAAAGTTCTTAAAGTTCTGTCTACTTTATTTATAAACTATTATTTATAACAAACAATGATTCAATTTTACAGCATTATGTTTGTTGCACTTCATTCACGTCAAAATATACACCTCGATCAAATATCACTCACTGGAAGAGGAGAACACACACATGTCTTTGAAAATGAAATGGGCTATGATGGAGTTAAATTTTTAGCTGATTATGACACAAAAACTCTTTACTGGACGGACAGTGATTTAGGACGTATATCATTTTCCGATTATCGTAGCCTACATGCTTACACTTTTCGTGGACGCTTAAAAGAACCCTATTCGATGGCTATCGTTGATGATGATCTCTTTTGGACACAGCTAAGATCTTCTTCTATATATTGGACACATAAGAGTAATATGGGTCCATTAAAAAGAGTTGAAATTGAAATATCAAAGGAATATGGACATACGCTGCCAGCACAAATACCACTACTATCTACCACTACATTAGTTGTAGATCATCCCTGTCAGCACTCAAATGGGGGTTGCTCACATATTTGTGTCACTGACAGCAAGTTTTCTGCTGCTTGTCTGTGCCCAACGGGTTTGGTATACAAAGACGGTGAAAACAAGACCTGTATTGAGGCTTTAGATTGTGAATTTCGTTGTGCTAGTGGACAATGCTTAACACAATCCAGACGTTGTAATGGACATAAAGATTGTCCTGATGGATCTGATGAAAAAGATTGTGACGCGAAAAAATCACATCATAAAGTAATATGTCCCGTTGGCGATTTTATGTGTTATGATGCTGAACAATGTGTACCAGCAAAGGAACGATGCGATAATAAACAGCATTGTAGAGACGGTTCTGATGAGATGCATTGTGAAAATTTCGGTAATTTCATTGTTTATAGTGATTATTTGAAGTCCTCATACGAATTTTGTTCCATTAATTTCAAGAAATTATATAATTTTTAATTAATTTTCTAATTTTAAAGATAAAACCAGAAATTGTCATATTCATCAGCATGTCTGTGATAATGGACACTGTGTTGACATGAGTTCAATGTGTGATGGTATTAATGACTGTGGTGATAATTCGGATGAAAAGGATTGCAGAATGCCGGGTACTAAGGAAACAGCACGTATTGTTTGTGGTAAAAGTATGTTTCAATGCAACACCGGTAGCTGCATTGCAAAAAGTTGGGAGTGTGATGGCAAAATAGATTGTACTGATGGTTCCGATGAACATGAAAAGTGTGGTATGTAATGTTTGTTTATCATTTATTATAAAATCAATTATTAAAAGTTAACTATTTCTACTTTTAGATTTAAAAGAATGTCCAAAGAATATGCACAAATGTCACCTCGGTCAATGCTTAGATAAGAAATTAGTCTGTGATGGTCATAACGATTGCGGCGATAATTCAGATGAATTAAATTGTGATATTAACACAGGAAAGAAACGTAATTATTCCTGTGGAGATGAACACCATAAAATGTATCAATGTCCTAGTGACATTTCCATTTGTTTGGAGCTCTCCGCCAAATGTAATGGTACCGCTGAGTGCCCACGCGGTGAAGATGAAATGGATTGTGGCGCCATCTGTAGTATCTATGAATTTCAATGCCAAACCAGCAAGGAATGCATACGCTTAGAATTTAAATGTGATCATGAAAAAGATTGTGCTGATGGTTCTGATGAACTGAATTGTGCTCATACGGTCAATGCAACGTTTCACCACACAAATGAACGTCCGTGTGAAGCACATATGTATGATTGCAAGGACGGGCAATGTGTGGACTTAACAAGAGTTTGTGATGGCTTTGATGACTGTGATACGGGCGCAGATGAGGGTCCACTTTGTAAAACTGCTTGTAAGAATTCCAAGTGTTCACATAAGTGCCGACCTACTCCATCAGGCGCAGTATGTTCATGTTTTAATGGTTATACTTTGGATAGCGATAAGCGTTCGTGTTTAGATATAAATGAATGTATGGACAATGAGCCGTGCTCACAAATATGCGAAAATACGTTTGGTTCCTATCGTTGCAGCTGTTTTCCAGATTTTATGCTACGCACTGATAAAACGACATGCAAGTCTATAGAAAGTGAATCACTTTTATTTTTCACATCATACAATGATGTGCGCAGTATGTCAGAACAACCAATTACTCTGAATGTTGTCTGGTCTGCTAATGACTCCAAAATAAATGGTTTTGATATAAATGTAAGAAAGCGCATAGCTTATTTTACTGCTGACGATGTACTATACATGGTGAATATTAGTGGTGAAGCTATTGTTCAGGGTAGCATGTCTGTTCAAATGCCCTCAAAAGTAGCTGTCGATTGGATAACAGGTAATTTTTAAATTTTGGAGAAAATATTTTTGTTTTATCAAAACAAATTGTATTTTTCTAGATAACGTCTACGTTATAAGTCGCGTTCAAACTTATCAAATCGAAATCTGTTCTTTTAAAGACAAAATGTGTGGCAAAATAGTGCAAGCCACTGCCAGAGAAACCATCAAGGCACTAACCGTCGATGCCTTCAACCGTAAACTTTTCTTTGTCACTATACGTGCTCAAACGTTTAATCAACCGAATTCACAAATATCACTGGCTAATCTTGATGGTCAAAGACGAGAACTGTTCTACCATAAGAGAGGCGGATATATAACTGCTTTAGCAACGGATCCACACAAACAATTTTTATACTTCACAGACTCGCACTCAAAAACTATACATGGTATTAGTTTTAAAGAAGGATCAACACGCACTCCTCTTACTATCATACAAAAAACAAATGTAGTGACACATCCTTCAGGACTTTCAATTTATGAAAATCAAGCTTTCGTAGTGAATATTGGAGCCAAAGAAGCAGTACGTTGTCAACTCTTTGGTGCACGTAAGTGTAGAGCTTTCAATCTCAACATACTCAATGCGGAAGATATTGTTGTGGATGGTGTTTCACGTCAACCAGTCACAACTAATCCATGTGACATGGCCAAATGTTCGGGCATGTGTGTTCAAGCAGAATTTGGTTATGAATGTATGTGTGGTGGTGTTATTGTAACGGAGAATGCTATATGTGGCAAAAATGACTATAATGAAATGGTAGCTGCAGCCAATCCGTCAAATGATTCAAGTGGTTCACATACTGGTGCAATTGTATGCATAATTTTGTTGATCTTAGCAGTTCTTGGAGCTGGCGTTGGGTATTTTATTTATCGACGTGTTAAACTAGGTCATCGAGATTTCAATATCAACCTGCATTTCCAGAATCCGCTTTCATCGTTCAGTTCTAAATCCAGATCAGCGCAAACAGCAGGCACCAACTTCGAAGCACAACACCAGAATATGTCATTCAATAATCCGCTGCAAAGATTATTGCGTAGCACGGTTCCAGCAACTACGATGGAAATGCAGCTCGAAGCAACAAGAGTAAGTAATGATATTTATGATTAATATACATATTATGGAAATGTCTACATGTATAAATATGTATATTTGTATGCATTATAGCAAAATGAAGTACATAAAGTATCACAAGGAGAACGAATGCCAAGTATCATGGTTGAGGACGATGCCGATATTGATACCGCCAGAACAAATGGATATTTTAGTGATGATGCGACAGTCAGACTTGTACCCTAAATAATTATTTGTTGAATATTTTGTTATAATAATTATTTTTATTGTAAATATTTTTATGTAGTTTATTAGTATTATGTAGTATTTGTTATGTATATTAAAATGTTATATATTACTTATAATTTTCACTTTTAAACTGATATGGTCAGAAATTTAAACCTGTAGAAAATTATATATATATTCTTTTCTATTATTAAAACAAAATTTAATTATTTAAAATCACAATATTTTTCAAAATAATTTATTTATTTTAATATTGTATATATTGTTAGTCTAAATAAATAAATAAACTTATTTGATACAGTTCATATTATGTTTTCCATTATTTTAAATTCAGAGAAAAATAAAAAATCTAAAAGATTCTAAATAAATTTATTATACAGATATGCTATAAAACTTCGGAGAAACTTTAATTTATAAGGTAACAGTATTATTTTGAACAGTAACTAATTAAAACAACAAAAAAATATATTATTGATTAATAAAATGAGTTTTTGTCCGACCTTACATTGGTTAGAGTAATGGCAAATACCCATCATTAGTAGTCTTTTAGAAATATTTCTTGTATTTTACTATTCGCGAATAATTCTTTGAGAATGTAATTACCAAGAGTTGAACTCATTCCTGACAAATTTGAAGAGTCTGTGTGTAATTCATACTGTACCTTTCACCTGATATCTCAGGCTTTAACATCTTCCCTTCGTCCAGACCTCACGCCACATCCCCTCAATACCTATCCCTTTACCTCGATTGGTGGGATTCTGATCCCTCCATCATCCCTCTCTTTAACCGCGGCTCTCATGACCACGGTCACAGAGTCTACCGCTAGTACCAGGTGCTTGCGCAATAACCCCACCCCCTTCACTAACACCCATGTTTCGATCCCATGCTCTCTAGTTTAAATGAACCTAGGTATTAGCTAGATAATAAGCATCTTGCTCTACCATCTCTCTCTTGATTACTGAAATCGGGTTGCATCCGCTACACGCGGTTGCAATCTTCTATATTTATTTCTAAGAGGTGGCTTTAGTGGGTTTAAGTTTCATACTGTGGATTTCGACGCTTTCCACTCACTGCAAAAAAAAAAAAAGAGAAAAAATTCAAAATACCTCCCCACTAAAACAATAGTTTCTATTAAAAAACATGGTTTCTTTTGTCATAATTGACTTTAAAAGTCAGACTAAATTATTATTGTATGTAAAAGAGCACAAATTATAATTTATATAGTCCTTACTGCATAATGTCAGTTAATATAAACCAAGTCCAATACTGGACTTGGATACATGGATACAGTTTATAAAAAAGTAGCATCCGATGGCTCTTCCTCTTTCAAACGCTACGAAAAGAACCGAAGCGCGACATGGCGATGTTTCTAGATCAGACATAGGTCGGCATGCTCGGCAAATAGCAAGGTTTGATTGTGAATAAACATTAAAAGTTTTTAATGAAAGTTACTTTCTTCAACGGATAACTGTTTCATTATTTTATAAATTTTCTATTATTTTTATTTAGTAAAAGATGTCTTTTTATATTGTATTGTACTTGCATAACAGCATTGTTTTATTAACATATTATATTTGGATATGATATATACTTAAAACTATATTTTTTTTTTAATAATTTAAAATTGTTTCACACATCAATTTAGCCAATTGAACTAAAAATAAAAGGTTAAGTAAATCTTACTACAAAACTACAGCTAATTTACAATTAGAACAGTTGTGGCTAATAAATATATAACTTAAAATTAAAGCATAAAACTATTCTACTATGTTTATAAAGTAAAGCCAAATTTTATCATGAATGTCAGCTAAGCTTTAAACTGACTTAATTAAACGTTCCTTTTGTTCAAAAATCTTATTCGTTGATGTAAGTGCGTCCAAAGCGGTTACACTTGGTGGTGCAACGTCCTGACGTTCTTTACTCAATAGAGATAAACATTCGCGGAATGCCAGCAAGAAAGTTTCTGCATTTTCTTGATTGAAACACATTGGTGGTTTTAGTTTAATAACATTATCATTGGGACCATCTGAGGATACTAAAATCTTATGAACTTGTTTCATACGATTGACGACCCAATGGGCTGATTTCGTATCAGGCTCACGTTTCTCACGATTTTTGACCAACTCTATCCCAACAAACAAACCCATACCGCGTATGTCACCCACAATATCGAATTCGTACTTAAGCTCACGACATTGCTGCAATAGATAATTACCAATTTCTAGAGCATTCTGTTGCAGACCTTCTTCTTCAATTACTTGCATAACAGCATTAGCGATAGCGCATGATACTGGATTACCCCCGTAGGTATTAAAATAAGCCACACCTGTAGCATAAAATGCATGCGCAATTTCAGGTGTAGTCACCACAGCACCAACTGGATGTCCATTACCCATCGGCTTAGCAACAGTAACAATATCAGGAACTACACCTTGAGTTTCGAAGGCCCAGTAATGTGTACCTACACGACCGAAACCAACTTGTACTTCATCAGCAATACACAAGCCACCAGCATCATGTACAGCATTATAAACGGCGCGGAAATAACCATCTGGTGGTATTATTTGCCCACCGCAACTTTGTAAACTCTCAGCTATAAAAGCAGCTACGCCCTTGCCTTGTAATTTCAGCTTTTCACATATATCGGCTATAGGTCTGCTGTAAATTTCGGCCATATCAGCATTGGGATAATCTTTGTCTGTATATAAGCCACCATAAATGTCTGGGCAAGGTGCTACATGAACATAATCTGGTTTTGGATCACCACCTGGTTGATTAAATTTATATGGAGAGATTTCCATAACAGATGTTAAATGACCATGATAGGCACTGTTTAGATAAATAAAGTAAATACAATTTGTAAGTTAGTTTATCCAGATATAATAAAAGAAATATTTTACTACTTACTGGTCTAAAGTGATAAGATCGTGACGTTTAGTATAATTTCTAGCTAAACGTAAAGCAAGGTCATTGGCTTCAGAACCAGAATTCACAAAGAAACAAACGGATAGCTCTTCGGGCATTTTACTAGTTAATGTCTTTGCACATTGAACCAATTCATCATGTAAGAAACGATTGTTGGTGGAAATGGTCGCCATTTGTAGACAGCCGGCACTTACTACTTTTGGATGACAATGACCCACTAAAAAGAATAAAAAAATAATAAAATTTATTATATTATTTCGATTATAAATATAAATAATGTAAATGAAATTGTATATTTTGGAATATTTGAACCAATTTGTAGAATATGGCAGTATCTACGGTTATTACCCATTAGTGTATCCTTTTTTTTTAAATATATTCAAATAAAGCTGACAAAAGATTTCAACTTTAAAATAATAATTATTGTAATAGATTAATAACTTAAAATTAAAATTAAACAATGTGATTAAATTTATCTATAGCACATATCACAGTTGCTATATCTATATTTTTTTGTAATAGATATTTCGGTCTACTTCGGTCTACCATCTTCAGTGTTATTACCTAATATAAACATTCTAAACTTAAATAATGAAATTAATATTTTGCTATTTGGCTAAGTCAGTTATTAAAGGCGTAGGCCTTAAGATCTGAAGATAATAAGGTTTTTAAAAAATCCAATATATATTTTAGACGCAAGTCGCATTAACTCTTTTTTTTGTTAGAAACATTTAACGAATGTTATTATTAACACTACAACTAGTTCAAAACTAACTAACGAGTAGTGTAACTGATAAGATAAAACATATATTTTTAAGAAGTGATTTTTAAAATCCATCTTCTTATTTAATTGTTAATAAGATCAAATGGCTTTCTTCGATGAAGACATGGACCAGTTCTATTAAAAAGCATGGTAGCTTATTCATGACCGCAACTCAGTATTCGCAATGTGCTTCCACTTGTTTTCAAACTTCTTTAGCAACATTAATAATGTTGTGGTTTACATAAATATCGAGGCTACTAATGTACTGTGGGGTTTTGGAACCAATGCATTATGTTAAGACCATTTTGATAGGTCTTTAGTACAATAATAATATTTAAACCTTTAAAAATTCTGAAAAACTACATGTTACTTGTGAGTATTGCAATTTTCATCACTACAGAGATATTTTACTATATCTCATAATGTCTGCTTTAAGGAAAGGTGTAAAAACTAATTACTAGATAGATTCATTTCATCTGTTTCCTTTTTGAACGTTATTGATGATTCGTTTAGGTAAAAATATGAATATGATTTTACGCAATTAATGAAAATCTAATGCACGATTGAAAATTTTAGTTTAAGTTTTTAACTCCTAAAAGTTTTTCAATGTTCAATGTTTAAATCAATTTTTTTAAACTCGGAATTTGAGTTTACAGATTATCGACCCACTAAAGTTGATAATCCGTAATATATAAGAAGGAAAGGAAACTCTCGGAGTTGTATGCTTAAACCTTTAAGTTTAAATCATAGAAAGTAAACTGCATGAGTTGATAACATAATCCGCAAGTTTTATTTTGAAACCATCAAGGTTGAGTTTTTAAGCCCTAGAGTCTAGTTAACTGATTCAATTTGGATAAATATAAAAACCCTCTGAGTTTTAAGTTTAAACTAATGTTTTCAACTATGTGATATTGTTCTGATTGATATATAAGAAGTCCAACTCGCTTTAAGATTATTTAATAACCTTTGAAATATATAATCTTATACTCATAGAATAGCATATGCTTATTAAAGTACTTAGAAATTATTGACCTCATTTGGCTTAACAGTTTCTTTAGCTATAATTTATTGGCACTCTATCGCTTAAGAACTTTCCACTATTTTATAATTGATAAATTAAAGCATTAAAGCAGTTGGTCGTAAGTTGGCCTGTCAATATCAATATTATATGTATGAAAATACCAACAATAATAGCCTCAAGAACAAAGAACCCATATAAAACTGCTTGTACAGTTTTGAAAAATTAAATAAATATTTATAGAGAAAAAAACGAATATAAAACAATAACTAAGCCATTCACTTGGTTCTTATCTTAAGCGTGTTTATTTCCACACGAGACATGAGACGTTCACATGCTTCAAAAAAATTGATAACGCAAGACGGTTAGCACGCATCTTGTAGCACGCGATCTAAAAAACACATTCTTCGTTCTTGGAAGAATTGGGTTGAACGCAATATCAGCGAGGAGGTTGTGCTATCATGATTCAGCAATCCAAGGAAAACGTTTTTGAGAACGTTTTGTTTTCGTAAATAAATTTAAAGGCAGCACCATAAACACGTGCTATCGATGAAGACGTTGTAATGTGAAATAGTTTGTTATCAGTGAGGAGCACTGAAAATGTGATTGGAAAATTTTTAAACAAATATTTTTAAAATTTACAAATATTTACGAAATAAACACATATATTTGATAATAATATTATTTTATTTAATATTTAATATTAAACATTAAATACTATAAATAGTTTTATTGAGGTCAGTTTCTTACAGCATTTTGTTGAAGTGTTATAAGTCATAAGTGGGGTCTTAAAGCGGTTTACATTATATTAAACCGACAATAGTTTTAGTTAAAAATTTTTTATAGATTATTTCTTTTTTCGAAATAATAAACCTTTATAAAAAAAAATAATAAAAAAATTTCTAAAACAGTTTTATTTAGTTTAAACGATCTTTGTATAAGATTTTTAGTTTTATAAACATATTTTTTAAACAATAGGAAGAACAAAGACAACAATCAGTATATATATAATATATAAATAAGAATATACTGATATATAATATCAGTATATTAATATAAATTAATACATTTTTCTAAATCCATTCAAATTATATACATATATGCATAGTAGCATTTTATTAATATGTTTACTTTCACATATCGAAGAGCCTTTCATTATAAAGTTACCTAATGTAACATCTATTTATAACAGAGATATTTCTCGGTTAAAGACAGATTGAAGTGATAAATTGTATAGCCATTTTGCCACGTACTCCTGGACATTTCCTTAAGCCATAATTGCCAAGATCTGCTAGAACGCTGGATGCCTTCTAGGTGAATTTTTCTCACAATCTTTAGACAAAGCTCAATAGGCAAAATGAGTCTAACTAATACGAAGTACATAACTCTAAGCCTCAACTACGAAAAAAGATAGTTAAAGACTTAAAACCTGGACAAAAAGAATGTAGTTAATACTAACTACATAGCTCCAAGCTTCAACTAGGAAAGGAAGTAGTTAAGTTTTATGATACAGTCAAAGAAAAAGAATAGCATAAAGACTTTTAACCTGTACAGAAAAATATAGTTACTATGAACAACATACATGGATCCAAATTTCAACTAAAAAAGAAAATAATAAAGTTTCAAACTACAGTCGAAAAAAATGGTGGTATGAAGCCTGTACATCTACACATCTATGACATCTATGACATCTACACAGGTTAATCAAAAACTATGAACGAAATAAGTTAGCGAAATGTACATTCCCTTCTCCTGTATCAATCTTATAGGCATATAGCACATACAAATTACTTAGTTGCGACCTTCTTCTATTAGAAACTACAAGCTGATATGTAAGTACCAAAATATTTCACTGCACTATTCCCTTATTTTAATCCATCTGTACTAAGCTCTGTCATATTTCGTAATGCATGACTTTAATAAATTTGTTTACGACAAATATGTATTTATTTTTTTTATGACAGCAATTTAAGTGCAAAAGTTTATTTAATTTATTAAACACAATTTACTTTCACACCCATTTGACGAAATGAACACTACAGTAAATTCTACATTTTGGGGGTCAGTTCCATAATTTATTGATAAGCTCGCACATTTTAGTAAATTTCAAATTTGATAGAATGAGTGAGTGAGTGAGTGGATTATTCACGTGTATCTCACGCGATATCAGAAATATTATAGTTTATTTAATTTTTTATTATTTTTAAGTCAATTTAAAAACAACAACAGTTGTTTTTCTAATCAATTTATTTTCGCTTTATTGTTGTTACTAAAATTGATTAAAATTAATATATTTGTTTTTTATGAAATTTATTCAGATGTTGTTGTTTTTATTTAACGGCGCATGTAAGATGACTAAGGTTAGTAATATTACATTTTTGATGCTTTACTACGTGCCAACCTGAGTTGTTTATAAAAAACTTTGGAAAAAAAATTTAAAGTTGTTTTTATAATTAATGAAATATTGACATTATAAATTTATATTTTAATAGAATAAATAATATTTTAATCAATTTATTTATCAGAAATTGTCGCATTTATATACCACTTATACTCGTATTATCAAAAACAGACAAGTAAAAACTTTTCAAATTTTTCATGGGTTTAATGTAATATCCCAGGGTCACATTTAATTATATTAACGAATGTTTTTAAAAAATTTGTAAATAGTAATTGTAGTTCTTATATATATAGTTATTTAGTTATAGTTTTTAACTTAGTAATATGGTATTATAATATAAAATAGCAATAGTACTTATTAATGAATATATGTACGTATATTTGGTATCCACATAGCAGTCGTGATATGATTATTATTATTATTAAAAATAAGGGATTGTATATTGCGACCTAACAGATCTATTGTGCCCCTTACTCGGGTTAGAGTGTCCAAGTCCGATTTGTTTAATGAAAGGCAGTATAGAGCCTTGAATCTTTATGATCCATGAAATACCCTCCTAGGTGTTTCTTACGCTTGTGCATAAGTGCCAGGCACTCCCCAAGCAAATGGTATGCAGTTTCTCTCTCTTCTCTACAGTATCTGAAGTCTGAGTTGAATTGAAATCCTAACTTCGATAGATGATTATGGAATCTATAGTAACCGATCAATAATCCCATAATAATTCTTAGGTTGTTTTTTGATTGTGCTATACAATCTTTGAAGCGTTTTAGGTTGTAAGTCTCTAACAGCATTTAAATTGTGACAGTCCTGGTAACCTTTCCCAATAGAGTTCTCTTTTTTATTCCTCTGCACCATTCATAAGAATATATAGAGTTCTTTTGCCTAGACCACAGAATGGTTCTAAGCCTATTATTCTTGAGGCTGCGCCTCTTCTTGCAAGTTTGTCTGCCGTTTCATTGCCTTGGATACCAGCATGTCCCGGAATCCATAAAAGGTGCACCTGATTGTTCCAGCCAAGTATGTTCAGCTTGTCAA